GAAACATGGCCTTTAAGAGTAGAAGATACTCGTAAGTTACTAGTGTTTGACCACAGATGCCTTAGAAATATTGCTCGCATCTGCTGGGATCACCGGGTAAGTAATAGTGAGGTTAGACGCAGGGTATTAGGGAATGATGGTAAATCAGTTGATGAGGTTATGAATCTTCATCGACTGAGATGGTTGAGCAACGTGTTACGTATGCCTGAACACCGATTACCACGACGCGCAATTCTCACTGGTGTTAGGGATAATTGGAAGAAAGTTAGGGGCGGCCAAACCAAAACCTGGCATCAGTGCTTGAAGTCACTAACTTTTGGGCTGAGCCATGTTGGAAGATTCAGACTACCTGGTTGGGGTCCGCGTGACTATCGTAATCAATGGTTGGAGACTCTTGGTGACATGGCTCAGAATCGATCACAATGGCGTCGGTATATACACTCTCTGTCTTCCTTTAAACTAAGAGATTAAAATCACTTCATATCTTTCTTTCTTCCTGTACATTATTTAATCGAGAGACATGTAGGTCGTTTCTACTCAAACCGTTTATGATAGTGTTTGTAGTGATACGACCACCTCTTCGATGACTGGCATAAAGTTATAACTGCTAGTTGATGCTCACATCTACTTTTCTATCAGAATGAATGTGTTCTATCTTACCACACGTAACCACTAGAACGTCTTGATGATTTGTTTATTTATCACTTAAACACAAACACTGGCACAAGAAGGCACCAAATACACACAAGTCACTCAACTTATGCGAAGACTCGGATACTGCCCGGACACCCAAACTGAAGCAGGTGGTTCCCTTAGGGGCCTTTGTCCTACAGGTCTAATCCACAAGGCAGTGGAGCAACGTTAGGAGATGCAGTCCCATGGTAGCCGGTGACCAACAATAGGTTCATACGCCATTTTTTCGCTCAGGATCCTAGAGCCCATGTGCACAATTGGTTTGGAATCAGGGTTTTCCATCTCCCCTAGGTAGATCCTCCGTGTCCATCAACCCGGTTAGAGCTTCGGACATTCGCTTTTTGTCCTCTTGATTTCGTAAACATTACCCTTGCGTTCGACAGATATTGTAGTACTAGCCGGAGATTCGAATGCTCAGGTCGGGCGTCTAGGCACAGAAGAGTCGTTTAGGTGGCCGATGGGGACTTTTTGGTCGCAGGACTTATAACGGGGACCGTCTACTGCAACTATGCACAGACCACAACCTATTTCTGGCTAGCACTAACTTTCGTCACAGTCATCGCCGATGTGCCAACTGGCGTCCTCCTTCTGCATTTCAAGCCTGGATCACATCGCAATCAGCTACCGCTGGCGTGGTTGTGTACAAGACTGCCGCTCCTTTTGGCGCACCTGTCTGGACTCTGATCATGCCCTGGTCTGCGCCAATCTCACCCTACTTTTCAGTGGCCAATGAAGTGACCGCCACCAGAGGATTGATGTTAGCAAGTTGGTTGCAAGTTCTGTTTCTAGTAAATATCGAACCGAGCTAGCTACCATTCTACCGAAAAGTATAGATGAGCATTGGTTGCAATTGCATGACGCCATGAAAATGGCGGGTAAATTCTGTTGTGGGTTCGCGAAATGTCCGGCTTATAATCACTGGGTTTCTTCTGGTTCCTTACAACTCATTGAAGCCCGTCGGTCTACTCCGGGTGACCGTGAGTTCGACCACAGACGAAGGATGTTACGTACTGAAATTGGGCAAAGCTTGCGTAAGGACCATGAAGCCTGGTGGTCGGAGCGTGCTAATGAGCTGGAAGCATCAGCTGCATCTGGTAATTAACGGAAGCTCTTTCAACTCATCCGAGCCACTGGCAGCAAGAAGTCTGGTGTGAGCGGCACAATCTGCGTCACGGAATGAGTCGATAGTTGTTCCTATCTTTAAAAAGGGTTCACGTCGTTCCTGTAACAACTATCAGACGATAAGTCTATTTCCGATTGCGTCCGAGCTGTTGGCTTCCGTTATAATTCGTAGGTTGTTCAAAACCCGAGAAAGATCGACTCGCGAGGAGCAGGCTGGTTTTCGTTCTGGTCGAGGATGTATTGATCATATCTTCACCCTCTGCCAAATGTTAGAACACCGCCATACTTATCAAAGGACAATCGTAGTGTTTCTTGACATCAAGGCTGCCTTCGATTCGTTGGACAGGACTGTTCTCTGGGATTGTCTATTGAAGAAGGGTGTGTCTGAGAAGTTTATTAACATCCTAAAAGCCCTATACACAAACATCTCAGGCAGAGTCAGGGCATACAACCACTTATCTTCATTGTTCCATTCATTCAGTGAAGTGAGGCAAGCTTACTCAACCTCACCATTCCTCTTCAACTTTGCTGTCGATAACGTTCTGGAAACAGCTCTGATGGATGTAAGTAATGGCGGTGTAGATCTGTTGCCTGGAGAAAGACTTCTCGACCTTGAGTATGCGAATGATATTGTATTACTGTGCGATAATGCCCAAGCCATGCAGCCCGCACTTAGTCAGTTGGCAATCAGTGTCCGTAGGTATGGTATGTGCTTTGCACCTTTCAAGTGCAAAGTACTTCTACAAGACTGGCAGGACTTGATCCTGTACTCACCCTGGGTAGTGAGTAGACAGAAGTAGTTGGGAAGTTTGTGTATCTTGGTAGCTGCATAAGTGCTGGTGGTGGCGTGAGTGATAAGATCAATGCACGTATAGTGAAAGCCAGAGCGGCTTATGCCAATCTGGGCCATCTTTGGCGCCTTCGTGATGTTAGTCTGGCTGTAAAAGGTCGGATCTACAACGCGTCGGTGAGAACAGTTTTGCCCTATGCTTGTGAAACCTGGCCTCTCCGAGTTGAGGATATTAGACGACTCTTTGTGTTCGATCATCGCTGTCTCCGAAGGATTGCTGACATCCAGTGGCAACACCATGTTAGTAATGCAGAAGTTCGGCATCGTGTGTTCGGGCATAGAGACGACAATCCAATTGGTGTCACCATCTTGAAACACCGACTTCGGTGGCTTGGACATGTTCTGCGAAGGTCGTCCTAGAGAATTCCACGTCGTGCATTATTTGCCGACTCTGGGACTGGTAGGAAAAAGCGGAGAGGTGGTCAGTGTATGACATGGTGTCGGGGTATGAAGGAGAGCTGTACAGAACTGGTTTGTGTTGGTCCTTCACGACTCCCTGCTTGGGGTCCTAGAGATGGTGCAACACAGTGGCTTGAGACGTTATCAGATATGGCTCAGAATAGAAGCCAGTGGCGATCCTGCTGTAACCTTATTTTACTTTCTTCGTAAAAAGCGGTTGCTTCTACCTTAGCTGGAAGATTTCTTCTGATTGTACCTGTTCGTTTTCTCTATTATTACTACTATCACATTACCTCACACTAATGTGGTCGTTATTGTTCTCTTGTTTTTTATTTTATTCCCTACGCTCCTTATTTTTTTTCCGTTCTCTTTAAATTCTCATTGTTTTGTGTGGCGCATATATATTAGGTGCCCCCTTGTATCAATATTTATTTTTAAATAAATAAAAATAATGCCCTTGCCTCGAGAATGGAGTGAGTAGGACTTCCCGATTAGTGACTGTATACGCGTGGCCATGTGAGAGCATTTCGAGAGGGATAGCTGACTCGAAGCACGCTCGGCCGTACCGGCTTTTAGGGGCCAAGAGACACTCGAAGGGGACGATGATAGAAATAATCAACTTGTTTAGTCAGAGATACTTTGATTCAAGATCAGCATCTTATCTACTTCGTACCCACAAACAAGTTACTTCATCTAGACAAGTTGAAACGTAAGATGTTCAGTTTCAGGAAACGTGTAGTGTGGTTCTTTAGTGTACCCGACAAACTCTTGATGAATGTATTCTACTTATTAGTTGTTTAATTTTGTAGGATGGTGGAAAATTATAGAGAGGATGTACTACCATGATCTTGCTTCACTAGCTGCGTATCAATTACCAAATACCTAGAAATTCTCCACCCTCTAATCTATAAAGCTGCTTCAATCTCAACTAATCATTGCGTAAGCATCTGCAAAAGTCCAAGGGATTTTGCATAATGTTGTTTACGACATTAAAAAGACAAAAAGCGAATGTCCCGCGCTTCAACCGGGTTGGTAGACATGGAGAGTCCACCTAGGGGAGTAGGAAAACCCTGATTCCAAACCAATGGTGCACATACGCCCCAGTATCCTGAAGGAACAAATAGCGTATGAACCAATCGTTGGTCATCGGCTATCATGGGACTGCATCTCCTTACGATGCCCGACTATCTTGTGAATCAGACCCTCAAGTCGAAGGCTCCGGGTGTGGCCCCCTAGGAAAACCATCTGCTTCGGTTTGGGCACCCAAGCAGTATCACAGCCCTCGCACAAATCAAATGAGATTTGTGTGGCGCATATATATTTGGTGCCTCCTTGCACCAATATCTATGTTTTCAAATAAATAAATAAAAAGCATAATTTTCTTAACATTTTTCTAGTAATGAATTTACAAAACCTTAGCATCTATCTTGATATGGCATACGAGAAAATCAATGCTAAACTGATGCGCCTTTTGGAACCAGCTTATGTTGGAGTAGAGACTACTTCAAAAGCGACTATTGTTCATAAATTTCATAAGAAAATACGTTGACTTAAGATGGTGTATTTGTTGACCTCACATGTAGAAAATTAATAAACTAAATAACTTCGTAGTTTAACAATCTAAAAATGAATAGACTAAAGTGACGCGAAATGTCCCAAAGTACTTGTGAAGTGGGTGTATACAATAAGTTCGTTTCCAACCACAGCAGTGCAGCCTTCAGTCCTTTTATATGATCGCAACAACCACAACACTAAACAGCAGTATGTGGTTTCATAAATTTGTGCCATATATATTATCCCAGTTACCTCTTTATCAGTCTAATTATATGTAATTTGATGTAACGTTTGGCCAAGTCAATTTAAAACTGACTCGGCGCGCGAAAAAACAGTAATCAGTTACAAACTTAGGAATGTAATTAAAAATCAACAAGATTTTTTAATCTGTTTTTAATCGCTTTTTGTCAGCAATTTGCAACCGTTTAGATTGAATTATTAAACTGTTGATCTGTAAAACAAGGAGTAACTAATGTGAAAAGTAAATAGGAATAAGTGAACTTACAACAATTAGTAGACTGTTTAAAATTACAGGAATGTTCCAAATACAAGATATGAAATATCCATAACTATCAAAATATTGCTCAGTAGCGAACAAGCTAGAAAGGTTAAAAGACTTGCAAATGATTGTTACTTCCAGTTATTAGCAGCGAATTCATTAATCCGGTGTGAAAACCAAACAGTACCAACTATTTTATGAACAATTATACATAAAACCTTACGGGAAATAAGCAAAATACACAGCAACAAATTTGTACATTTGCGGAGAGCAATTACACATATTGATGTGAGAAAATGAAATCCAATTAGTGAAACTAACCACAGTTCACTGGTCCATGGTATCTAAGTAGAAAATCATAATATGAAGTTTACAGACCGATAATATAGTACCATAGATAGTATCTACGGTAGGGTTGGTTGTAATGTCAAGGAATTGAAAACTGAAGTTCATCTGTTATAATTGGGCAGAATCCTTAGATCTGCAAATCTCTAAAGATTGGGGATAATGTAAACTGTGAGAATCATAATTCAGTAGTTACATTTGTGTCAAAAATTTGTATGAAAAGATAAGTTAAAATAACCATTTTGATAGTGGCGGAGAACCGGAAAGAAATAAGTGGTGGCAGATACTACTTAACACTGTGTTCGAACAACATGGTTTCAGAAGGGGTTTGTCTTGCACAACAAACCTTCTTATAGCAAGAGATATTTTAATAAAGGCGCTAGACAACGGAAACTCAGTGGATATTGTCTACATAGACTTCAGTAAGGCATTTGACAGGGTGCTAACAAATAGACTGCTATTGAGTCAGTAACAACGTGGAACTTCGTACGTACGTACATCAGTTCGAGTTGCCATACCACATTAGCACAGAGATTCAGTTATCAATTCAAATCCCATAGTGGTAGAGGTACTGAAAGTATAAGTAGAGATAGGGGACATTAAGGTTTGATGATGTTATTAAAGGAGTATAGTCCAGTGGAATAAATTGGGAAAGAAAATAAAGGACATGGAGAATTCAGAAGATTAGAATTTGAGAGAACACAAAGAGTGGATGCACCTGCGCCATTGCAAACGATTTTGAGCCATGTCATTCAAGGTCTCTAACCATCGGTTTGCTATCGTCTCGCGGTCCCCAACCAGGTAGTCTACACCTACCAACATGACTCAGTCCACTTGTCAGTGACTTCATGGATTTGTGCCATGTTTTGGTCTGGCCGCCCCTAGCTTTCTTCCAACCTACTCCTACACCATAAAACATAGCACGTCGGGGCAGTCGGTGGTCGGGCATGCGCAGCACATGTCCCAGCCATCTCAACTGATTAAGTTTCACTACTTCCTCAATTGATTTGCCATCCTTACCTAGTACCCGTTTCATAACAAGTGCATTACTTACTCGGTGGTCCCAGGATATACAAGCGATGTTTTGAAGACACCTATGGTCAAATACTAGTAACCTACGAATATCCTCTACTCTTACCGGCCATGTTTCACTGCCATAAAGTAGGGCGGAACGAACTGCTGCTCAGTAAACACGTCCTTTGGTTGATAGACGGATATCTCGCCTACGCCACAAATGACGCAAGTTGGCAAAAGCTAGTCGAGCCTTTTGTATCCGTGCTGAGATTTCGTCACACACCAAACCACAAGGGCTGATGAGACTTCCGAGATAAGTGAAGCGGTCGACACGCTCAACTACTTCACTCCCTATCACTAGTTCGGGTGTCGACGCAACTCAATCCTGAAGTAACATTTTGCATTTCGAGGGAGAGAATCGCATGCCGAACATGCTTGCATTGTTGCTTAGAGTGGTCAGCAGACTCTGCATCCTGTCAGCGTCTTCACTAAATAGAACTATGTCATCGGCATATTCTAAGTCAACAAGTGGATCTCCCGGTAGAAGTTCAACTCCTGGAAATATTGATGAGGAAAGTGTCATCTCTAAAAGGACGTCAACGACAAAGTTAAACAAGAATGGAGAGAGTGGACAGCCCTGACGAACACCACTTGAGGTAAGCAATTCTGATGACAGTTCACCATAAGCTCTCACTCGACCAGTTGTGTTCGAGTAGAGAGCCTTTATAAGGTTGATGTACTTCTTTGGTACTCCCTTCAGTGACAAACACTGCCATAGAACCTCACGATCAACAGAGTCAAATGCCGCCTTAAGGTCGAGAAATACTACCATTATGGGGCGTCTGAATGTGTGTCTATGTTCTAGGACCTGACGTAGTGTGAATATCTGGTCTATACAACCACGTTCAGGTCAAAAACCAGTCTGGATTTCTCTAGTCTGTTCTTCACAGCCAGTCGAACTGATCCCTAAAGTGTTCTCCCCATCGATCCAATCTCCTGGATTGAGAATGAATAATATGTCCATCTTTCTCTGCGATTGTTTCGCTAACAGTTGGGTTCATAATACCGGTTACCTTAACAAGTCTGAACAGTTGCCTGCTGTTACCTATTGCCGCTGCCTTTTCCATCTCTCTCGCTTTCGCTACCCACCACTGTTCACGATCTTTGCGTAGGCTTCTAGTCAGCTTACGCTTAAGCTGACTCTGCTCTTCGTTATGTTCAGAGCCAGATGGAATGAGTTTTCGAGCATCTATCATTGCGGTAGATGCTGCTGAGATCCAGTGTTTCTCCATAACCTTATGGTTTACCGTACTTGCAGACATCACTGCTGTTTCTACAGCTTTTCGGATGTCATTCCATGCTGCCTCGGGGTGGGTATCACTTACATGGCTGCCTAACTGTTTTTCTAGATGTTCTTGAAATATACTCTTAGCTTGACTATCATTAAGTAGGATCCTAAGGGGTTTCCTTGCAGCATGTTTCCTACGTCCAGTAAGACGTAAACAAATACGCGCTCGCACTAGAGCATGATCTGAGTCTAAGCATGTGCTCCAGAATGAGCGACAGTCTTCTATCGAGCCCCTCCATCGGTGGCTGATAGTGATGTGATCTATTTGGGTCCAGCGTTGAGACGAATTAGGGGGTCGCCATGTTAAAAGATGTTTTTCCTTATGCTTAAAGTTAGTGTTTTCAAGAAACAGGTAGTTATCTGAGCATAGCTGCAACAGACGGTCACCATTATCTGTTCTTTGAACCGCGACATCATAAGATCCACCCAGGTGTCCTTCCTTTTCGCTTAGTTTACCTACTTGAGCATTAAAGTCACCAGCCACTATTACTACATCTGAACGCCTAGCTTTTCGGAGAAGGTCGGAAAGCTTTCTGTAAAACTCATCTTTTACATCATCGGAGCTGCAGTCAGTGGGAGAGTAGGCAGAGACGACGAAGAGTGTCCCTATCTTTTCGCGTCCTTACTGTTCCGTTTAGTCGGACAGCACACAAACGACTGTCTACTGGGATCCAGTCTAAGAGAGCTAGTTCTGCCCTAGGACTCAATGCTATACCTACGCCAGCGAGGCCACGGGATGCAGCATCAGGGCTCCCAGATACACGAAGCGTAAATCGAGTTGCTATTGAAGTTAGAAAATTTTGGTATTGCCGGACCTCTCATAAAATGGCTTAAGGATTTACTAGTGGGTAGTAGACAGGAAGAGTAAATTCCAAGTGCTTTACCTGAAGACCCGTACTTAGTGGAGTACTTCAAGGTTCTGCCCTAGGTCCTTTACTTTCTATACTGTATGTAAATGACCTTCCAAGTATAGTACATTCGCCAATGTTATTATACGCTGACGATGTTATTATTTATTTAACCTGAGATGCAGATGCATGCGCACTTCAGGCAGATTTAAATAATGTGACTAACTGGTCTAAAGAGTCGCTGATGCCTATCAACGCGGCAAAGTGTGTGCATGAAGCTGAGGGGTTTAGAACCCTCTGGGCTTTAAGACAGACATTAACCAAATTAGATACTACCATGTTCACCAGAGTATACACAACCTTAGTGAGGACTAAGCTTGAGAACTGCGCTCAGGCTGCAAGCCCGTTTAAAAAGTGACTCGGATATCCTGTAGAACGTACAGAGGGTAGCTACCCATACAACTCCAGAACTCCGGGGTTCGCTTTATAAAGAGCGGTTTGGAAAGTTTTACCTCTTTCATGTCCTACCGCAGATTAAGAGCTGATCTATTTTGAATGTATGGAACACTAATAAATGATTTTGGAATTAACATATTCTCTTCTACTTCTCACTAGATCGAGCTTTCAGTGGACATAGTAGGAGAGTAGAAAAGCCAAGAACGAACAAAATACCAGTGACATACAGGTTTTCACACGAAGTCCGCAACTCTTGGAACCTGTTACCCGTAACAGTTTTGTCTGCACCTCCAATTGACTTATTCAAGAGAAGACTGGACACTCATAGAAGCATAAAAGGAAAGGAATAATATAAGCCGTAGGCCTTCTCTCTTTACTACACAAACATGAAATATGTGGCTCATATGATAAGCTCTTTAGTTGACTTCATTCTTGGCTTACAATTTTTATACGAAGGGATTAGATCGCTTTATATTTGTCAAGTGAGTAAAAACTCTTATTTTACGACATTGAATACGAAGAAATAATAGTTAGTTGCATGAGAACTAGCAGTAGACGAAAAACTAGGCGAAGGCATATGCAAGGTGCTTCTTAAAAGCCGATGTTTAGTGAAAAAAGTGCAGATGGCTAAAGGCTTCAGATCTTAATATACTGAGACTTTGGTAGACTTTCAGGCTTATACATTACATAATGTTTGCACAACCACTAAATAGGATGAGACGAACACAAGTTTCGTTTCTCTAATTTATTTCTAGAACGGGATGAGACTCAAGCGACCAGTAAACGGGAAAAGTCGTTTTTTTCACCTTAAGTCGTGTATTTGAGGACAGTTGTAGACACATAGACGTGACGTACAATATTTGAATAAGCCGCTTCTTAAAATGGTTCAAATGGACAGAATAGAAGAAGCTTTCGCTTAACAAGTTTCCGTTTCTAGTAGCAGGGGATCACCAATACCTCCAGGCAAGAACCTTGGTATATTAACGATAAAAGAGAAAAAAAGAAATTGGTAAATCATAGTAAGATATTATCCTTAGTCCTTAAGAATAGATCAAGTCGCCTCTTAAATGACCCCTGGGAAGTCGCTTGAACTAGCTCAGCTGGCAGCAAATTCTAGAATTTTACAACTCTTATGGAGTAGAAGTTGTGCCTGCAGTATGTTCTACTATGTCGTACCTCCAACTTCTGGGTGTTACTCCTTAGGTTAGTGTTAGGACTGAGCTTAAGTAGGTGTTTAAGAGGATGTCCAGGAGTGTTAAGGATACTATAAGCCATTAGAAGGTCACCTCTAAGGCGTCTATACTCTAATGGGTAAAGGTTAAGTTATTGGAGGCGCTCATCGTAAGGTTTAAATTTGAGTCCCCGAACTGATTTCGTGGCTCGCCGTTGGATACGCTCCAGAGTGTCCTTATCCTTTTGGAGTGTAGGAGAGAATACTATGT